ATATCATCATGAACCCCAACTCTGGGTCTGAACTCTCTTGCAGCCTGCAGATGGGTGATCCTTCTTCCTTGGGAGGGGTCCCTAAAGCACCCACATGCTCTTCAGGACATGGCTTTACTTGCAGCCCTGATTTAGTGTCCTGCACATTCATGTCCTGGGTAAAATGAGTTGATTTTGGGGCTCTCTGCAGACATAAATTGGCCGTGATGCTCTGGCTTGAGGCTGAGGGGTGTTTGGCCAACATGACCTGAAGCTGGATCTTGCACATCAAAACTTAGTGATGACACTTTTCTGACTCTGAGCAGCAAAGTGGTGAAGAAATCTGAGCCTGGCTCCTGCCACAGCACCCCGAAGGCTGGGGATGTGGGCAATCCAGGGTGGCCTCTGGGCTGCAGAGAGCTCAAAAGTCCCAAAAAGGAGGGACTTGCATGGAAGGGGTGGCTTGTTTGCTCTGGGGTCCATAAAGAGCTGGTCGAGCTGGTCAGGTGGGTGCAGCGGGGAGGGCAGCAGCTCCAGCTCTGTGGTGGACAACTGGGCAAGCAGATTTTGGGGGCCACCTGGGGAAGGAGCAAGTGGCTTCATAAACAGGTCACATCCGCTGAAGTCTTGCAATTGTAGCACAGGGCATTTTGGAGGCAAGGTTGGGTGGGGTTTTGCCCCCAGCATCAGGTGCGTGAGGACAGCTGGCCAGAGATAGTGGCACAGGGACACCACCACGCTACAGGTGGAGAACCAGGGCTACCCCCCAGCTCTCAGAAGACCATTCCAAAGATTTTTAGGACCTTTTCCAATGAACGGGGCAAGGAACCCCCACGTTCCCCATTCATTCTGCCAAAAGGCACACGCCGTGCTGTGGGGCGGTTCTGGCTACAGAGGTGCAGAGTTTGGCTTGTGACTACAAGAAGCTCTCACTTCAAGGCCTCGAGCTCACAGCAGGAACAATCCAATCTGCTCAGGCAGCTCCTCCTTGTCTCGCCCTGCAGCGTGCAACAGGATGCTGACAAAACCCCAGAAACTGGATTGACATCATCGCAACGGGCCACTGGGACACGGGATGTTTCCATCCCCGCCATGCAGAGGTGCTGCCGAGGGACTGTGGTTGTGAAGGGCAACCAAAGGGCACCCTAAAACCCTTGGCTTGTGTTTGAATACTGGCAATGCCACCGCCGGGCTTCTGGAGACCTTTGGGAAACCTGCTGGAGGCTCCCCTTGGCAGGAGCACCCTGGGCACAGGGAGGATCCGTCCGCGTCCGGCTCTCGGCAGCACCAGCGGCTCTTCCCCAGCAATGTCTCTAAGATAAATGTTTGTCTTTTCCATCCAAGAGATACAGCAGAGCTGCTGCCAGCACCACGTCTCCGTGGAATCAGCTTTCGTTCTGCCAGGAGCTTTGCCGGCTCATGATTCACATCTTTACAGCAGCTTTGGAAGGAAAATGTGCTTCTCACCAGGCAGACCTTCACGCACGTCAAGATGCCACAGTTTTTCCAGACTTTCCAAAGGAAGCCACAGCCAAGTGAGACATTCCTTCTCCTCTTCCAGCTTTCTTGGAACAACCTTCTTTGATTAGTGAGCGAGACAGATAGTTGGAAAGACAGACAGACAGGCCAGGCAGGAGGGTTATAACAGGCAGTCTGCATGAGCCCCAGCCTCTGGGGGGACAGTGCCTCCATCTGCCTCTCAGTGGGTGGCTGGTGAGAGTCCCTCCTGTTTACCATGGTCCCCAACCCCCTGTCCTCCTCCGTGGTCCCTGACCCCTGCCCTCTGCCATGGTCCTAAACCCCTGTGTCCTCCTGTATGGTCCTGGACCCCCTGCCTTCTGCTGTGGTCCCCAACACTCTCTCTTCCTCCATGTGTCTCAAGCCCCTGCCCTCTTCTGTGGAGCCAAACCTCCTGCCTTCCTGTGATGCTGGTGAGAGAAGTGGCCGTGGTGCAGAGCGTGCACAAAGCAAAGGAGCCGGAGTTCCTGGGGTTCACCTTACCCCTTTGTGCCTATGCCAGAGGGAGCCAGGTTGGGAAAAGCAACCAAGCAGCTCAGACGTGGCTGGTGGGTCCTGTGTGAGGGATGGGTAAGAGGCCAGGGGGCAGGGAAGGAGACAGCAGCTCCTGCCTCAGCCCCGCGGCCACCCCAGCCCCGGCGCTCGCACCGCACCGGCAAGAGAAACAGAACCACCACCTCCAGGGAGTGCGTTTGGAAAGTACCAGGTTTTATTAGACAGGCTGATGTTCAAGCTGACAGTTTTATCCCAATGCACACGACCACGGGCATCTACATGGGCCTATGTCCCAGCTCCCTCCCTCCTGCGATGTTCTGGGGCGAGACGGCACCGCCGGCAGGGAGACTTGAGGTTTCTTGGTGAAATGAAAAGGTTTCCCTGCTCTCCATTTCCACTCCTGCATTCCCAAAGCTCTCCTAAGAGAGCTCGGAGAGAGCTGGGCTGGGGGCTGCAATCTTCCTGGG